CCCCCCCCCCCCCCCCCCCGAAATAATATGCGGTTCTCTAAGAGGGGAGAGGCTCAGCTGCCGGCAGCTTGACATAGCTGGGCAACTTGAGCGTCCGTCACCTGCAGGCAAACTCGCGGCAGCTGTGAAAGTCGAGAGTCTGGCTCTGTACCTGAAGTCCGGACACCCTTACTTCCGGCTAGAGGCTGCGGGGTTTTAGGGTTGGGGCTTAGGGTTTAGGATTCAACCCTAGACCCTACACCCGATCCTACCTTATGCCCGTGCTCCCCCCCTAGCAGGCCGTCGTGGCAGCGGACAGCTCGTCAAGATTTGCCGATCTCCAGGTAATGCAGGCCATGACCTTGGGGGCATTAGGGGAGCAGCTCCGAGTGCTTTAGGGTTTAGGGGTTGAAGGGTTGAATGGGTTCAGGGGTTTAGGGGTTAGGGGTTGAGGGTTCAGGGTTTAGGGTTGAAGGGTTGAAGGGTTCAGGGGTTTAGGGGTTTAGGGGTTAGGATTTCGGGCGGCTGACCGCATCGGGTGTTCAGGGCGCAAGCGAAGGATGAGGAAATAAAGCTGCGCAAATTGGCGGAGCACCAGAAGGGAAGATGAAGTATACGAATGCATGATGGCCGAGATTGACCTGTGCTTTCAAGCTCTACAAGGCTTGATGTTACGGTGCTACACGGCTATACTAGGCCCTCTATACTTGCGCTATGATCTAACATGTTACAGCCGGTGCATCCGTCCAATATCCTATCTGGCACCATGCAGTGCCATACTGTGTCACTTACGTTGTCTATGTTCCACGATTCTCTCTACTTTTCTGGAAGTAACGACCTTTCAACTCCAAATCCCAATCAAACCCCAACTCCCCTCCCCAACCCGCCAACCCTGATAGAACCCTTGATTGAAAACCTCATAGAACCCGGATAAACCCTTATAAAACCCGTATAGAACCCTTATAGAACCCTTACAGCCCCAAGCCCTGCCCCAGGAATTGGGGCCCCGTGCGTAGGCCCCACTGAGACCCTTGGGCATGACCCCCGCGGGCGGCGGATTTGTGCACGCAGACGTTGCCTTGACGTATGTGACACCTGCAGGCAAAATGCCTAGGAGGGTTTAGGGTGTAGGGTTTATGGGGGGCTTTTGGAAAATGGAGGTTGACAGGTTCACTCCCAGCAATCCCAGCAAGCTACACATCCAAGCAGGCCCACGACTGACAAACACCCTTTCAGTACGGGCCGTACTGTTTGCATCCCTAGTACCATCCTCATACAGGGAGGGGGTTAACAGTCATGAGTCCACATAAAAGTACGACGCTACACCATATAAGCAAGCCTATATCATAGGAGATCCCTTATTCACCCAACCCTGCACAGGATCTCCCAGATAGAAGCCCTTAAAGAGAAAAATATCCAAAAGCCATAAAATACTAGTAGATCTTGTTGGCGCCTCTAGTTCTGCACATTCCTTAAATTAAAGGCTTCAAGGGCACTTCGGAGATTCTGCGTCCTAGCGATACCCAAACCCAGCCCGCTCGGGTCGCCTCTTCCTTCCTTGGCTGCGAGATCTTCAACAGCTGGGGGTTTAGGGTTTAGGGT